AACAATTATTGATAAAATATTACGTCAGTTTGCTCTCCGAGTGTATAAATCATGTCGTCTTATTGTCTTATTTTTAAGTACTGTAAATCTATGTGTATATGGTACAACTCGCTTTAGATGTGTGTTAGCATACTGGACTCGTATGCTGTGTACCATGGCATCTAAACTTGGTCAAGTCGGGCATTGTTTTCCCCCGCAGCTGCCATCTTGATATTATACATCACGTAAAGAATTATTGTTGTGAAAATGATGATGTACTTTTGGGTTCTGGTACCAGACCATTGCGTTGGGCAACTGCAAGTGGCGCTAGTGTCAATCCCACTTCATAAGTTCTTTAGGCCGTCGTTGTGGTCTTACCGATTGCAGGGAATTTAAAACTGCGATTTAGTGTTGATACCAATGGTGTAACGTCCACACCAAATTTAATTCAAATCTAAAATGCGGATGTGGACAGACATGATTGGTGCTGTATGCTTTAATTTCATTCACATCGTCAAGGAACCTAACCTAACCTGAACTAACGTAGCCCACCACAACCAAACCTGACGCCTGTCGCCTCGACGCCGACATAAACTTCGAATAAAGCGAAGAGGAGTTTCGGGATACATCTGACATGGGGCACTCTATGTAAATACCCCTCATAATTTTAATAAAAATAATATGTTGTAATTGTTTTGTTATTTATATCAAGTTCAGATTGGGATCGCAATTCTTGTGTCACTCTGTATTCAAAATCGGATTCAGAATCTTACATTTTAATATTATTTTGGGGTAAATTTTTATTCTATTTAACATACTATGATATGCTGCTAATTTGTGTTCTTCTGGGTTAACAGAAATATTATTTGCTATTAAATATGTACAAGACGGTTTTTTGAAGATTTCAAAAGCAGTTCTGTTGCACCGTTTACATTTCTAGGTTTTAAAAACGTATCGGTTTGTTTTTCTGCAATTTTGCATAACTACAGAACCGGAAGCAGGGTATTTAAACAAGCTATGATATGATCTGGACATAATTTCTGGCTGTCTATAATAGTACCTGTTGTAGATTACTATCGATCACATATTTGATTAATTTGTATTTAGTCTGGTGCAAACGAATTTCAGAAAAATTCTCGAAATCTCAAGTAACATTTTTGTTGTCAAACAAGGTTTATTATGCTTTACAGATTTATTTACATGCCCGTGTTTTCCTATTACCGGAATATTGCGGCAAGATTATGTCTCTAAATAAATGAATGGCTTCTAGACTGCGTGCATGTCCGACGGTCAAGTTGAAGGGTCG